CTGCCGTCCCCTCTCCTGGGAGAATTTCCCACCCCCTTAGGCATCTGTATTCCCGTCTTGAAGTATGCAGGAGAAGGGGAAGGAACCGCAGAACTCACCTCTTCCAAGTAGCCTTCCATGATAGGCCAGACCAGACCTCCCTGGTCTGGATCCTTCTCCTCTCATCTGTTTTCATACCTGTCCCCTCCGCCCCCATCACTGACTCCAGCCACATGGGTTTTTTCTGCCCTGTGAGTATACCACACTCATGTGCAAATCTGCCCTTGCAGTTCCTTCATCCCGGGAAGGCTCTTACTCACTCACCCTGCGTGTCAACACCACCTGCATGTGCACCCCCACCTGTGTGTGCGTGTGAGCCAGCATGCATACACACCCATCACACCACACACACACACACACACACACACACACATTAATGTGTCTGGCATTTTCTCACCATTCAAACCTCAGCTCCTGACACCTTTTCAGAACAGTCCCCCCCCCACACACACACACTTCTTTTGAAATCTGACCTTTGTCATTTGCTAAAAAGTCAGCATCTTGGAGGAAGAGATGGAGGGAACATCTCCCATTCAGAAGCCAGGTGACGGCTGCTTCCTCACATACCCACTTTTATATATAGCTGCTCCCCAGCACCTCAAAAGGGCCTTTCCAGAGGTTATTTTGAGCAGCCCCTGCCCGAGGGGAGGGAAGACCTCATGTGCCCTTTAAACAAACTTAAGAGTGCACATTTAAAAACCCAGGCAAGCCTGCAGTTTGAAAGTAAGGAGAGAAACAGTAAACAAAGTATAGTATGCATTTGGAAAGGAATCCAAACATATATTTTGACCACAAAGGAGAGTCACAACAGCTAGGTGAAGCCTGATCCTTTGGAGGAGAAAGCCCGCTGCTGTGGTTAACATTTGTAATTGAACCATTGACCAAGTGCTCTTGATGAACCAGTTCACGTTCCCTCATTGCTTTCACTCTGGACGTACAGATCCACATGCCCATGCCTGCCGAACCTTCAGGCTGTAATTACACCGTCAGAAACACTTGCAGAAGATGGAGGTGATGGAGGTAGAGAGGGAGCAACTAAGTTTTTGCTGCAGAAATGATCGTCTACTTGATCTGGGTGGGCTCTCCTCATACCCCTGCAAAAGTAAGCTTGGTGACCCTTTTATCTATCCTGTCCCTTTTATCCGTCGTGGTGTGCCCAGCACCCAACATAGTGCCTGTGGGAGTGAGAAGCTTCCTTTGATGCCCACCAGTCCCTTCTTTTTCTGCTCACTTCCAGCTGGGGGAACTTGCTTCCTCAAAGGGACTGAGCTGGCCTCCCTGCAGGGCTGTGCTCTGCCCTGGTACTCCCCTGGACTTCCCCAAAGGCCAGCCCATACATATGCTATCAGAGGATTGCCGTAACCCAGGATGATGTGTCCCACATAGAGTACAGTAATGCCAAGAGATTGGGGGGTAAGGGAGAAGTGCTTTCTCTCTCTCTCTCTTTCTCTCCCTCAATACTGAATATTGAACTCAGGGAACCTTTGCCACTGCTGCATCTCCAGCTCTTCATTTAGAGACAGGATCTTACTGAATTGCCCAGGCTGGCCTTGAACTTGTGATTCTTCTATCTCAGGCTCCTGAGTACCTGGGATTAGAAGTGTGTGCCACCATGCCTGGCTTAGAGCTCTCCTCTTTTCCCAAGGCTCTGGCACTTACTATCTTAGTGGGAAATTGGCAGGCATGTCAGTGCTTATGGTCTTTGGGTGGAGTGTATACTGTACATGTGTGAGGGCCACAGTACACAGGAGCCTCTTGCAGATTCCTTGATATTCAAACTCGGAAACCATATAGACTGAAAAACTTCCAGGTAACTCTGTCAGTACTTAAACTCTAGATGCTTCCATTCCCAAACTCAGGAACTGAATAGACAAGGATGACATGACTTCCCTAACACCCAAATTCTTGCTTCTTAGGAATGGAATACAATTGGATTACAAAGGATATTTGTGAGTGTGTGTGTGTGTGTGCATTGAACCCATTGATATTCTACCACTAAACTATGCCCCCAGCCCTTTTTACTTCTTACACTTTGAGACAGGATCTCATAAAGTTGCCCAGGTTGGCCTCAAACTTGTGATTCTCCTGCCTCAGTCTCCCAAGTAGCTAGGATTAACAGTATGTGCCACTATGCCTGGCTGAGATTATATTTTTTGAATCACAGAAATCTCCACATATACTTGATTAATACTTAAGTATTTTTTTGTGCTATTGTAAATAGTATTGTTTCTAGTTTTCAAATTCTAGCTGTTCATTGCCAGTATGTAGGAATGCAATTGACTCTTACATATTGATCCTGATTTCTGCAATCTTGCTATACAGTTATTAGTTCTAGTACAGTTTTTTTTTTTTTTTGGTAGAGTTTGTAGAATTTCTGTTTTCTATGTAGATAAGCATGCAGAGAAAGTTTTGTTTGCTTTTTTTTCTAATCTGTATACTTTTCATTTCTTTTTCTTGTCTTATTGCTCAAGCAAACAGCCCCAGTTCCATGTTAAAAAGACACAGTTATGGGGCTGGGGTTATAGCTCAGTGGTAGAACACTTGCCTCGCACATATGAGGCACTGGGTTTGAGCCTTAGCACCACATATAAATAAATAAAATAAAAATCTTGTGTCCAACTACTCCCCCCCCCAAAAAAAAAAAAGACAGTTATGATGCATCTGGATTCTCAGACCCTCTTGAGGTAAATCCAGGGCCCAAGGGTAGGAAATTGTTGAGCCTGTCTACCATGCTGCTTACACTGGTGATGAGATCAGAAGCTTCAAGGGGCCTCTGGGAAGCTTGGGGAGACCCAACTTTGCATCTAGAGGTGACACCCACATCAGTGCTCCCTGTGGTCTCTATCCTTTCTGTGTCTCAGAATGTGCTTTTTACTTGGCTCCAAGCCACAAGGCCTAAGCTAGGTGTGTGTCTGGGAGTTAGTGGTGAGCAGGGCAGGAGCGTTATCCAGGAGGGCTGTGTTCCTGGGTCACCCGGGCTGTCGTCTCTCTCAAGGATATTTGCTTATGCCCTAAGATGTAGGCTCAGAGCTGCATGTTGTGACCTGGGGCTGCAGCAGCTTCTCCATGGACTGTCATAAGTGCAACCTGATCATGGCTGGGCAGGATGTCGACCTTTCACTTTTTTATTGTTACCTACTGTGTGCCAGATGGACTCCTCAAATATCAGTCATAGTTGAAGAGTTTCAAGGGGCCATCTCTGTCAGGTTTCTCATTATACAGACGGGGAAACCCAGGGAGGGGCATTGCTGATACAAGTCTCTGCAGGGACAGGACATATGTGCTTGGTGACCAGAGGCTAAGCCCCAGGAAAGACGAATCTTATGTGCACAGTGGTTTTACTGTTTTTCACTGAAAAATACAACTGATTCTAAGATGCACCATCATTTTATATACCTCTGAGAAAGAGTTAACAATGTCAATTAAATAACTACATGCCATCCTTTAAGTCACACTCAATTTCAAAGATGTTAGTGTGAAAAAGGTGCATCTTGGAACTGTTAACATAAGATACATTTATGAAATTAATGATCATATAAAATTATATGTGCAGGATTAAAACTGGTTTTTCCTCTGACTCTTCTTATTAAATTTCTCCATAGAGATAATTTTTAGAGACTTTTTTGGGGGGGTTACTGGGGATCGAATCAGGGGTACTTAACCACTGAGCCACATCCATAGCCCCTTTTTTGTATTTTATTTAGAGATAGGGTCTCACTGATTTACTTAGGGCCTCGCTAAATTGCTGAGGCTGGCTTTGAACTCACAATCCTCTTGTTTCAGCCTCCCAAGTCCCTGAGTTTATAGGCATGAAACACACCCAGCATCTCCAATTGGATTTTAATCCATTTGTAATCCCCAGAATTCTCTGCATCCAGGGGCATGCAGAGGGATGCATGCACATGCTGGTCCCATGTGATTCCCAAAATGCCTAGTAGAGGGGATCCAGAGAATAGGGAGGGGGCTCCTAGCCCCAGCTCTGTGCCTGGTCACCCCAGTCTTGGTCCCAGGGCAGGAGGTGGGTTGGGGCAGAGTTTAGGTCCTCTGTGCATCCTTGCTCCCACCTGCTTGGAAGACCCCTCGACTCCATATCCTGGTCTCTGTAGATACAAATATTAACAGCAGCTGCCATTGCTGAGCCTCCTGAGATCCAGGCACTGAACATGTAATATTTCTGATCCTGCCAGCTAGGGATTGGTTGTGGTCATCATTTTACAGAGGGGGAAATGGGGCTGCGGATGGAAAGGGAATGGCCTTGCAGATTTCTGGTGGCAGAGTTCCAACTTGGCTCCTCCTTATATTGGTTCTGAAGCTCCGTCTTGGCTTGCCCTGCACATGCTGTGTGAGGTGGACTTCTTTAGTGGTCATCAAGGTATCTGGTTCTCCCCTCCTCCACCCTCTTGAAGTTGGGCATGACCGTGTGACTTCTTTGGCTGATGAAGAGCAAGAAGCAGCTTATCATTGCTGGGCAGGAGTTTAAGAAGTTTCAGACTGGGTGGGATTTTCTGTGGTCTTCTTTCTTCCTTTGGCGGACCTTGAGGTTTCATTTTGAGATGGTGACATCATGAGGTGGTGGCCCCTTTAAGTGATCCGGATGAATACAGCCTCTTTCCAACCCACTCAGGAGTGAAAAAGAAACCATTGTTGTTTTAAGCAGCTACTTTGTTACCACAGCTCAACTCTATCTTGGGCTGATGGATACACTGGGTGGCCTTGGCTAAGTCTCTTAACTTTCTCCCGTCTCTATTTTAATCTATGCAAAATGTATACACTTAATCCCTGCCCCTTGGAGCTTTCCCAAAGAGGTTTTCTTTGAGGCTTGAATGAAAGCAGGGTATGAGAAGCCTCCGTGTGGTCTGAGGCCGCTGAGCCTGACTCTTAGTCCGGGGGAGCCCAGGGCTGCCTCCCTCACACCAGGACACAGTCTCCGGCTTGCCTAATATATGTGTTCCTTTTGGCAGGTGGCCCTTCCCCGGGCGGCGGTGCCCCCTGGCACCTTCGAAATGTCCTCAGCGACTCAGTGGAGAGCTCAGATGATGAATTCTTTGATGCTAGAGGTGAGTGAACTCTATTCTCACACTATCCACTGTTTGATCTTTCTAGAAGACCAAGAAAGCATCCCTGCTGGGGTTTAGTATATTCCTTCCCACCCGGACAACAGTTCCACACTCTATACTTGCCCAGTCTGCGAGAGCCCTGAGTCAGTGGCTCAGTATTTATCCATTTATTCTTGGAAATGTTGGCTGAGCCTCTAATGTGTGCCAGGAGCTGGTCCAGTGCACAGGAGACTGTGGCAACCAGTGGGCACGGCTGCTGCCTGCATTAGTCTAGCAGGAGAGGCAGGCACCAAACAATGGCACAAAGGAAAATGCAGGCCTTCATGGGGAACGCTGCCATCAGGAGAACAGTGGCAGGTGTTATGAGAGAAGATGAGAGGAGGGCCCCTGAATCAGTGTGGGCAGGACAGCCTTTCTGCAGATCCGAGGAGTAGGAGGTGGCTAGGTGAGGAGCCCACAAAAGACTCTTGTAGATAGGGGAGACAGCAGGTATGGTGGCCCTGGAGTAGGAAAGAGTGGGGAACATTCCAGGCTCTGAAGGAAGACCCGCATGGAAGGGCAGTGAAAAGCCAGGGCAATGAGGCTGCAGGCGCTGTGGCACCCATGGCTGGAACAGGATCTCTGAACCTCGCCCTGGAGAAAGCACAAAACCAAACGGGCAGGCGCTTTAGCCAGAGACCAGCGTGAGCAAAACCAGAGGTGTGGGTGCAGCAGGAGGTGAGTCAGTCTGGAATTTAGAAGAGAACACCCTGAGCTATGCTCCATGGGATGGGTGGGAAGGGGTAGAAGCACCGATGGCCTGCTCCCCAGCCCCGGAGGGTCCCCAGCTCCCACTCGGCCTGCTTGGCCCCATTCCAAGATGCCACCATGTTTAGGGTGTTGACTTATCCTGAGATGGGGGCCAACTTTGAAATGCCTGGCAAACAGGATCTTGAAAGACAAGAAGACCATGACTGAGAAGACATCCAGACCCAGAGCAGGAGCCTGGAGATGCGGTCCCAGCCATGCTATCCACTCGTTCTGTGACCCCAAGCTGGGCCTTAGTTTCCCTGTCAGCTCTGTGTTGCACCTTCCAATGTGGAGAATGCCCAGGTCGGGTGATTTTCAGGGAAGCGTGACTGGGAGACAGGGAGCTGCCCCTGCTTAAGCCTCCCTGTCTCTTGGCTCTGGGCAGACCCCCTGTCCCCCATGACAGTCCTAAATCAGCCCATTTGGGGCCAATTTTCTGCCTGATTGGAGTGGCTGCTGGGGCTGAGTTGCTCCATAGCAACTAACCCACAGTGTGACAACAACAGCTTCAATATTTTTGGTGCTTGGAAGACTTTGGTTTAAAATATTTCTTACAGTTCATCGGGGGTCTGCATTCCCAGCTGACAATGGGTTGCCGCAGGAGGCAGGCATCTGTGGGTGGCATGCGGGTTAGCTCTGTCCCTGGACCCTGCTCACCTGCTTTCCTTTAGAGCAGCTGTGGGTCCTTCTTGCTCCCTTCCCAGCTGGGTGCTATCTCCCTAGGTTTCCCTCAGCGGTTCTCTGCTCACCCCTCCCCTGATGTCTCTGTTCTTTGTGCGGTGAAATTGGCCTCTTCCCTCACTCCTCTCTTCTTGGTGGGCCCTCCTTTACTTTCCGCCCTTGGTCTCATTACCTCCTTCCATCCCAGTGACTTGGGAGGTGGAGGCAGAAGGATTACAAATTTGAGGCCAGCCTCAGTGTCTTAGTGAGGTCCTAAACAACGTAGGGAGACCATGTCTCAAAAAATAAAAAAAAAAAAAGGCTGACCATGTTGTTCAATGATAAAATGCCCCAGGGTTCAATCCCCAGCATCAAAAGAAAAAAGAAAAAAAAAAAAAAAGAAGATGCTCAGTGTCATAGTCATTAGGGAAATACAAATCAAAGCTGCACAGATCTCACCATATACCTGTTAGAATGGCACAAATGACTGACCAAGATGTGGAAGAATTGGAACTTTCCAGTTTTGCTGGTGGGAAGAGACCATTTTGGAAAATAGATTACAGTTAATTAAAAAGTGAATCATACTTAACTAGCAATCCTTCCACTGCTAGGCATTTACCCAAGAAAAAGAGTGTGTGTGTCCACCTGTCGACTGGTCCAGGAACGTTCCCAGCAGCTTTATTTACTCCAGCCCCCAACCAAACATGAGTGCACACAAGTGACGGAGTGACTAACAAACTGCAGCACAATAAGAAGGAATGCACGCATCCAGGCAGCAATGTGGACAAATCTCAAAATAATCACACGAAGTGAAAGAAGTCAGACAGAAACACAGCACACACTACACTGTGTGATCCATTGATATAAAATTCTTGGAAGTGCCAACTAATCTGTAGTGACAGGAGCAGGTCGGGGTCCCCTAGGGGTGATAGTGCACTCTCTTGATTGGGGTGATGTTTTCACAGGTATTTACAAATGTCAGAACTTACCAAACTGTGCATTTGAAATGTGTGCAGTTTACTGAATGTCAATTATACCTCAGTAATGCTGTTAAAAATGGAATCCCCTCCCCCATATAACAAAGGGGGTGTGACAGAGTGGTTGGGGGACTGAAGGAGGTTCCCAGAGGATGTGGCCCTGAACAGGGAGCTGAATAACAAGAACTGAGCCACGTGTGGCTCTGGGGGAAGGGCATTCTGTTCTGTGCAGCAGAGAGCTTTCACAGAAGGAAGGAGCACAGTATCTTTGGGAGATATCAGGAGGGCTGGGTTGGCCCCAGTGAGGGAGGGAGGAGGAGCCTGATTAGTGCTACTGGCCCATTGTGCCAACAGGGGCAACCTGTCTGTGGAAGGAAGTCTGCATCCTGCACATGTCCATGCTCAGGCTGGCCCTTGACACCCCTGTCCCTGTCTTGGTAGAGGACAGAGTCTCATAAGTCAGAATTTATAGTATAAGATGGACCTGCCACAGGGAATTATGCTTGGACCTTGAGTGACTGAGGTCCTAACATGGAGTTAGTCACATTCATGTGCTGGCCACTTCTTCATATTCATGGTGGATGTGTCTCTGAGGTCTTTATACTTTATTATTTCTCAACACACGATCTCCTCACAGCCTGAGTCCCTCTAGGGTAGTTGCTCAATGAACAATTAGTGTATCTCAGATTCCAATAATGGTCTGCCAGATACTTCAGGGTGGGTGTAAGTAAACCTGTTTCCGTTTTAATGTCTTTGTTTTTCCACCATCATAAAGAGAAACAGAAGAAAATCATAATGAGAGACGCTGAGGTAAAGGAGGAAGTAAAAGCTGCATTATTACCACAGCAAATGCCTCCTATTTTAGGGCAAGGATCCTCAGAAGGACTAGAAAATCTTTTATTTTTCACTTCTCTTTACATAAAATATATCTGTTGACCGACTTCCTCATGGCTGTTTTTACCTCCTTGTTTTGCAATGTGCATATGATGGGATTAAAATCAAGGGAATATTACTGTATGGAACACAGATACTACTTTATTTAGGGAAAACAAGTCAAAGGGACGAACATAAATGTAGATGCTTGGTCCAAACATTAGCCCCACTATGGTGATGTGGGGATATCACACACGCGGACACGGCCCTGTTGGTTCTGACCCTGAGCCTGAGTGCTTCTTGACATTAACAGAGCCCTGAAATACATCACGGAGATCAGATCGTGGCTAAAGATCATCACTAATTCTTCTGGGAAGGTGTTGGCATAGGCAATCCGCGCCAGTTGTGTGATGTCACAGAAGTAGCCGTCCAACTCACTGGGCCCACAGAAGAGAAGTCCAACAAGGAGGGCCACCTGTAGTATAGAATGGACAAAGCCCCCCATTCAGGAGAGAGGCCCCAGGATACAGCAGAGACATGGCTTCCTGATGGTAGTCTAGTGGAGGGGGCGCAGATAGCCGCATGATGGTCAAGGCCATCGCTGTGAGCAGGAACATCTCTAAGGCCCAGCAAAGCGCAAGAGGAAGAGCCGTGCAGTGGACCTACCAGAGGAAATCGTCTTTCTTTCCATAAAGAAGTTCACAAGCATTTTCGGGGATGTGACAGAGGAATACCAAATATCAAGGAAGGCCAGGGGGGCCAACAAGAAATACATGGGAGATGTCAGATGGGGATCAAGTCTGGTGGTGCACATGGTAAGGATATTCCCTGGGAGGAGGAATAGGTAGGAGAATAGAAATAGAGCAAATAGGGGTAGTTGCACCTCCCAAGTCTGGGATGGGCCAGTAAGAACAAATTCTGTCGTCCTGGTGTAATTTGCAGTTTTCATTTCTTCAATTAGTTTTTTTTTCCTTCATAATGTGGCTATGAAAAATAAGGAAATGATAATTACTGCAAATAACACTTAACTAGAATTGTATCACCGCTTTCAAAATTGTTGTTATGTTCCCTGTTGCTGAGACTACTACATAGGATATGAATACATTTGGTCACCCTATTTTGTCTCCCCCCCCCTTTTTTTTTAAAAAAAAATTGTTCTAATTAGAGTAGAATGAATTTTGATACATCATACATGAATGGAGTATGACTTCTCATTCTTCTGATTGTATATGATGTACAGTCTATATAATTATATATGCACATAAGGTAATAATGTACAGGCTCTGTAATCATATATGCACATAGGGTAATAATGTCTGATTCATTCTACTATCCTTTCTGCCACCATAGCCCCTCCCCTTCCTTCACTCCCCTCTGTCTAATCCAAAGTACCTCCATTCCCCACCCGCTTATTGTGAATTATTATCTGCATGTATATCAGAGAAAACATTCAGCCTTTGGTTCTTTGGGATTGGCTTATTTCACTTGGCATGATGTTCTCCAGTTCCATCCATTGACTGGCAAATGCCATAGTTTCATTCTTCTGTAAGGCTGAGTAATATTTCATTGTGTATATATACACCACAATTTCTTTATCCATTCATCTGTTGAAGGGCACCTCGGTTGGTTCCATAGTTTAGCTATTGTGAATTTAGCAACATTGATGTGGGTGTGTCAGTGTCGTATGCTGAGTTTAAGTAC